CCGGAAATAAGGAACTTTATGAACCAACTGACCAGATAATATAATATGAATAGCTCTTTATTAATATAACTAAACACTTCTACATACATCCCTCGAGCTACTCTCACTCCGTTTTTGCCACATCCTTTCTCAACCCTTTCAACCCATGTTGTCGCCTTGGCACCTACACAATTAGATTTCATGTTTATTTAAATCATCAACATATATTATAAAACGGCTTTAGTTAAGATCATATGATGTGGCTGCAAGGTGTACTGACATTCTGTGCGTGTTGATGAAATTTTGTGCGTGTTGATGTAGCTGCAAGGTGTACTGACAGAATGTCAGTACACCTTGCAGCCACATCAACACGCACAAAATTTGACTATGTATACATGTTCAGCAAACCCGGGATATGTTCAAACTTCTTGTACATAAGGCGTTATGATAAATCAGATATTTATAGAAGGTACGAGCTCTGGTACCTTCTACAAATATCTGATTTATCATAATATATATATTTTTTCTTCATCAAAATTCCCTAGGATGGTGTAAACAAAACTGACAAAAATACTAGAAAAAAGCCTCCAGAATATTATAAATCGGCTTTTAACACCCGAAAATGACTCTGTGCTGACTGTTGAGAATAACAACTAATTAAAACAACACTGTCCAAACTAACTGAGTCTTAACGAGAATAATCACTGGAGAATTTCCAGTTGGATGCTTTTATAATTAAATCAATTTACGATTGAATATTGCTTAACAAATTTCTAGATTTGATATCCGAGTGAATAAATAAAAAAACAGAACAAGATATATGCTTTAGAATAACTCTCTAAGTCTCTTAGTTATATGTTAAGTTCAATAAAAATAGAATTAGTAAGTTATAGAGCAAAATCAAGAGAATATCCTATATAGTCGGTTAATGCATTTCCTTGCATATTTCGTGTGTACTTGCAGTTTTATCACTATAAAAAATGTAACCGAACTCTCACATATTGTTTTTGCTTATCTTATCTTTTTTCTATAATCGTCTAAAACATCATATTGACGTAATTACATAACATAATACAATACAACAACATTATAATTATAAATCCACGTATAGTAATTAGCAATCCATCATTATCTAGGAACAACTACAAATTGTCACGGATAGCATTAATAATAATAATAATAATAATTTTAGATATGCTACATAGATGTATTGGTTAAAAAACAGCAAATTGCATTGGGCTATTACCACAAGCATGACAGAAAGTCTGTGTTTGTGTCAGTGGCATAGCGAACATAACTGGCGCCCGGGGCACGACACTTTATTGGCACCCTCTCCCCCTCCCGAAACACACAGTTTGTCTTGGAGACCATTTCAACGCCCCTCTGTGAGTGGTGCCCGGTATATGATACACTCCCTTGCATCCCCCTCGCTACGCTACTGCTTTGTGTGTGGCAGAATCACCTGCCAGCAAGACTATCCATGAGCTACAAACATGGTTTCAATATTTTATCTCCAAGTGGAAGTAACTCCAAGACAAATCAATTGAGTGTGATCGACCCATTGGACAGTCCTGCATATTTAATAACAAAACATGCCGCATTTTTGCATACTTATAGAAGTGTGTCACAATTCTGAAAAGATCAAGAACTACTGGAGAGCAATGTCGAGCATTAAATAAAACTTTTACTTTTCAAGTGTGCGGAAACGTAATTATAACGAAGTGAAATGTTCTGTTTCAAATCATACATATACAGCAGTCTAATCTTTAATGTTATATTATGCAAAATTTATATTATTAATATATTTACTATAATTTGCTTCACTTGCTTCTTGCCCCCATGCAATGATCTATCTCTATATACCAGTGATTCCTGGTCGATGTGCTGCCATTCTGTGTGTGCTGAGACACAAACACAAAAAATTAAAGTGATAAATTTTAAAATTTATAAAGTACAAAATGTACTTCTATGTAATTCTATAACATATTTACTACAACAAAATATATATTTATTATAAAAGTAGAATTAGTGCGATCTTTGACACCGATTTCATTTGCTAATTTCTCACAGTTGGGAGCGTATGATGATAATCCCAATCGTAAACAATCTTCAAGGTTGGCATTTGTAAGTTAAGATCTGATTTTTGATTACTGCTATAGATTTAGCAGTAATGTCTACTTGTGTAGTAAAAGGATTTATGAAAATGTAGCCACGGGTTCGATAATGGTAAATTGCTAGAATCTACTTTCGAACTGTTCTAAAAGTATTTTAGGATGAGTAATAAATAATAGTGAGGTTGAGGCCGAACTTTTAAATGCGAAAACGTGTACGTCAGATGTTCGGCGCCGCTTTCCTGTAAGCCTAGAAGCTTGACAATGGTGTTTGGATAGTCAGTAGAATCATGCTCGACATTCCGAACACCATTGTCAAACTTCTTGGCTTACAGGAAAGCAGTACCGTACGTCCGACATTCACGTTTTCGTGTTTAAAAGTTTGGCCTCAACATCGCTATTTCAACTATTGTAGTTAATCTAATTGTTGAAACATTTGACCTTCAGAAAAAAGGAATTTTTTAATCTCTTCCAAAAGATCAAAAAATTAGCCAAGCGCTTTGCTTTGCCTTTACTTAATTAACCATCTGATATCTGTATGTAAGATAAGGTCAGCTTGGGAGGATTCCTCTTTTTCTTCAAGGGCTTTAAAAGAAATTTAAAAGAACCGCGACGTTCGACGCTGTGTTTTTTTGCCACCGACACAACACTGTTGCATATTAAGCAAATACATTTCTCCTTACTTTTGATAACAAAGTAGTCTTCTTCCCAATCTTTGTTAAAATGATAGGTTCATTGTTTTTTACTTCGATTACTCATTTCGGGGTAAAATGTTTATATACAAAGAAAGAAAAAACTCAGCACAACGATAGCATGTGATTACAACATTATGAGTTTACAACATCAAGTGATGACAACTAATACCATACTACTAATTCAATAGAAATGCCATTGGAGATATGATTATAATAGGGATGATGTATTAGACAATGGTCAGTGTGTAGCTCAAGTGTAGCCAATTTAGCGAATTTCTCACTACATCTAGCAAGATTTTAAAAACTAAAGTAACTTTTCATTTTAAAGATTTAACTTTTGTTTTTCATTATTCCAACACTTTGCCGTGGGCGCATGTAAACAAGGGTCCAAGGTTGGGAACCCCTGCTCTAAAGTATGCAGTAAAGTATGAAATAGAATATATTGCTTTGGTCAAACGACTTTACTCGTCACCAGAACAATGTAATTTAATTGTTTTTCTTTAAGTAAGTAAAGGTTAATTGCCAATTTTATGGCACCTCTTTTAATCCAGACAGAATTACTAGAGAGGAATTAAAATTCCAACAACTGCCAGACTGAACAGTTGCAGATGATATTACACGTATTGCAGAATCACTTAGGTTTTCTACACTGCAACTGTTGGAAATTCTTTATCTTTAAGAAAGGTATCGAAATAGCAACAAATTAAATCTTAAAAGAAATTCCAGGATAATCTACTGCAAATTCTAACATTTTCGATCTTCAAAGGAGATCTTCCTCGAGATTCTTTAAATTGGAATGCGAAAATGGAACATTTTTAACAATTATTTAAAAAACGTATAAATGAGGATTTTCTAAACTAATTCTCTTAAAAATTTTTAAAATAATTTAAATCTCGATATACTTACAACCATGTTTTTGCACACTTAAGTATAGACAATGAACATGCGCATATGTCATGCTATTCCTCCTTTTTTCAATATGATCACATTACGAGGACACGTTAAAAAGGCGTAAAGGTCTGGAGGACATAGCTAAAAAACATGGTTATAATAACACCTTATTCGTAAATTAGTAAATGCCTATTGTAACAGGGGTACTCCTACACCCAATAATGTTGTATCGTGAAGTGGGAACACTGACACCTTGTGCCACATAGTTCTAGATTATAACCACAACATGAAAAGTTTATATAAAGAAATTTCCCATCACAGAGGTGATAAATTAGCATACAAACGTGTTCCTACTATCTGTAACATCCTCAGAAATGGAAAAGACAACACTGACATGCTTAGGGTTCCTGGTGTTTATAAGATTACACTGAGAGAGAATAGATTCCAGTGTAATCTTGAGTACATCAGAGCCACCACACGATCTCTCAAAGTAAGGCCGGCTGAATACAAGTATGATATCAGTAAAGGAAAGTATAACACTGCCCTAGCTATGCTGCAGATAACAACATTCAAGACCATCTAGACCAAGCTTCTATCATAAGACGATCTAAGCATGACGACCAAATAAGGACACTGGAAGTGCGTGAAATATTGAAATCTGTAAACAGCAACCATTGTATTAATTTAAAAGAGGAAGGACAAGTATCTTATGCCTGCAATCCTTATACCAAAGGAAACAGTTAAATAAAAAAATCCTGGAATTTCTTTTCAGATTCAATTCATTGCTGTTTTGTAAGATATATTCCAGGCTTGCAGAGTTTAAAAGGTATCAAGCAACATCAGTAATATATGCTTCATTCAACTTCCTATCAGTCAGTAATGCTTTAGATATATGGAAGACATATTTAGCTGTGTAGGGCATACTTCTTACTGTGTGATCTCGACCAGTGTGGCAAAGTTTTGAAGCCAAGCATGCCACAAAAATGACGAAAGACCAATTTATAATCAAACAATTTTCTAATTGCAACCATTTCTTACAATGAGACGAGCTAATGTCTTGTTATTTTTCTCAATTTTATATAATTTTAAAAAATAAAAATTCCATGTATGTATATTGTAAAGGTGGCCCAAAAAATCAGTTAACCAGTTAAAAACTAGTTTTGTTCGGCCGACGTACATGTGTATCCAGCCGCTTCCGAAGAAGTGACCGAATAGAGACCAGCCTGGTTAACTGACTCGTGAGACTCCCTGTACGAACGTATATATGTACCGGTACATTTATGTAGATACGCACATTAACAAAATAGTGAAACCATTGACTTACTCTGAATCCTGTAATCTTTGACGAATGTCTGTTTTTGAAATGGTTCTTCTAATAGATCCTGGTAATTTTCATGTTTGTATGCTGGCCATTTCGGTTCCTAATTTTTCTTAATCTGTTGGGAAAATTTAAAATTTTATCAACTTTTGACTTCTTAATTCTAAATTTAAGACTAATTTCTATGATTAGTATAGCTCTATTCAGGAATTAAACTAAAATCTAATGAGTCTTAGTACCTTTTTTTTCTTATGTTTGTTTTTTCCTATTCCATGCACATAAGAGGGACTTTTAATCATATCTGTAACATGTTGCACCAGGCAGGACAATGCCCGACATATCCAACAAATGCCCTCTCGGCCATCTGGTCATGTTCCTGGTACTTTCGACTCTTCTAGTTAATTCTTGAAAATACTTAAGAACTATACTTGACAATACTTAGAATACTACTGTATTGTTACTTTAATCTTCTAATTTTGATTTTTAAATTATTCACTAATTGCTTGAGCTTGCTGTTGAGCTAGTATGGGTGCTACAGTCCATAATCAGTGGTGGTAATAGTTTGTTCTTTTAATCTTTGTAGAACGCAGAATAGTCTGCTAAAAGCATTGTGATTTGTTGATTTTTCTCTTAGATTCTGGTAGGTCGGCATTCATCTTCTTACAATTTGTGCATGTTGGTGTTCGGTGTTTTTTATTACAATCCTTGTAGGCATATGCCTTGGCACAGTGACTGCACTTCTGGCCATGCATGCACTCACGTGAATAATGCCCATAACCACAGCATCTCAAGCACCGTACAACCAGAATAATGTTGTCCACACTGACACTAGCCCAGGACATCGATATATGATGGTGGTTTATCAGTATGTTTCTTATCATTGGGGTACAGCTATGACAACATGTCTATAATTATGTTTTGTTTTTCCTTTATTAAAGATCGTACCAATTCTACATTCTGATTTAAGTTTATTAATATCCGAATTCCCCCATATGTTGTTTTGTTCAAGCATAACATCAATCAATTGGTAATGAAATTGGGGACGTTTAAGAGGATTACTCTCGGATGCTTCCCTTGAGAAGTCTTGCAGTGTATTTTTTCCTGGATTTCTGACAAGACCTCAATAGCCCTCTTCAACACCTTGCCTTCTGCCTCACTCCCCACTCTAACACACAGACCTTCGCTTTTAATTTTCCTGATGTTTTCAACACGGATTTGGAGTTTATGTGGGCCAATATCTTTAATAATTTGAGAAGTAATTTCTTCCATATTGGATTGTGGGCTTTCCGTCAAAGTTCTGAGGTCAAGGAGGATGGCATGGTTTTTCCAGTGCCTTCCCCTGAACCTTAGTAGAGAGATAGTCTTTGTTATCTGGCTAGGTTTAGTACCCGTTTTAGCAACTTCAGAATGGGTGAGCATTAGTAACAATTTGTTGACTTTGTTTTGAATGAAGCTCACAAATGATTCCATAGGTTTGATGTAGACACCCAAACAAGTGGGAGACACTGTCCCTAATTTCTAACCGATATTCTTTTTTAACAGTATTACTCAAAAACTCTGGGCAAACATCCAAGACTCTGCCCAAGAGCGATCTGACTTCAGAATGGTTTCCTCCTCTTTGGATGGTGGGGGCAAAGACACCCCTAGTGAATCATTTCATCCAGAAATTCAGAAACAACACAGACCTCCGAATGCAAGTCAGCCATATCAGTTGTCATGATCACAGAAGCAAAGCTGAACCTGGAAGTACTTGTGAGTTGTTAGATTTTAATTTAACTGAGATTTTATTAGTTTAGTGTGACCGCACACAATGGTTATGATCACTAGTTATGTATTTGATCTCTAGAAGAGTTCCAGGCATTAAATTTTTAATGCCATCTTCCAGAGATTGCATACATAAGCAAAGAGGTCACAATTAGCCTTAACCAAAACTTGTTATACACAACTTTCTGTTGTTTTATAAGGCTGAACTATCCGCTATAGTTATTCATCTGAATTAATCAATGTACCGTTAACAGTAGGTGAAATAAAAAACAACAATGTTTTTGACCCAGTTAACAACCTACTTTTGGACGTAGACAATTGAAAGTGGAATCTATTCCACTTTCTAGGTAGTTTAATTGGCAATTCAACTGCTCCGTACGAAGGAGTTAGAGTCCCTCTCCAGATAATTGTCTAAATTAATTTAATATGAAATGGCAACTGGGAATAAATGGGAATTGTCCATAAATTATGTAATGCTATATTTATTCTTTTCAAACTACCATTTCAAATGCTATTGCACATATCCAATCTGAAAAGTATATAACAAATATAGGCCTTCTTAATTAATTAATTGCAAAAAAGAATAATATGCCATACAACAGGTACCAAATGTTAATTACTTTGCTAATTACACTTATGAAGCATGCTTTACACTGGACATGAACGTGAAGCAAACACACAGACAGGCGAGCAAGGTTGTTTCTTTGGCTTGTGCTTAGCAATGCATTCTAGCTGTCACATACTCGATTTAGCCGATATGAAAATTTTTAACTCGCTTGGCGAGGTTATGTACACTTACATTTCCTCGAAAGTTCTCTTTGCTTTGTTACATTTTGCATCCTTTGTGTCCAGTGTAAATCAAGCTTAACATATAAAGCAGCAACACAGATAGTGATATTGTTTACTACACTTCTGAAACAAAAATGAATCATTTTATTATCCATAATTTGAAACTCTAGCATTGTGCATTTGTAAGCACCCCCTTCTTCCAGTATCTTCACCAGACCTGAAAGTCTTCATGGAACATTGTTGAGGGTCCAAACATGTTAATCACTTTTGTGTTAAAATAAGACAGGATCCGATAACACAAAATTCATACCTCAGATTAGATCAGCTGTACCGTACAGCAGGGACCGTGCTTCTTACTCTAGAAATAAGTGGTTCCGTATCTGCATTATGTATTTCATCGACAGCCTCATAATAAAAATTTCAATTGACCATGTAGTTGAAATGACTGCTGTCAATGTAATTTTTCCGACATTCAATCCAAGCCCTCCAAAACATTCCAAACCCCTAGATTATATAGGGGAAGAAAGGCTTGTTGTTGAGCGAATCATTTGTGCGCAACTTGCTTGACTTCTTCATTGAATCTAAAATGACTTCCCTTAAGAAGGACCAGATATTTTTTAATCAGATCTCGTAGTTGTGTGAGGTTTGCTCATACAAAAATATAATGCTCTATGTTAAAGGTTTGACTTCTCAAAACGGTTTACATAATTTGGAATTTAGATAGGTTTCAACTGATAATTTTCTAGTAAATTTTAAGTTAGGTATAAATAAAAACTTACCTTTTAAATTTAATTTTGGTCTTTGTATTTCTTAAAACTATCTTTTAATAACGACGTCATGTTTTGCCAGTCGATTTTTCCAAGCTCAGAATCTGCTATTACAGACACCAAAGAATGAAAGGAACTAAAAAAACACATGTCATAAAAGCTTTTTATTCATTAGAAATGCAAATTATTTTATTTTGGATTTTGTCATATAGCATTATTTAAGAATTTAACCCTATAATTTGCAGTGAAATGAAACTGTTACCGAATAAAGGGTAGCTCAATATCCTACAAAATCAAATTAGTCTACAAAATATGCCCTATATAACTTAAATTCTGTAAAAAAAATAGAATTTGAAGGGCAACACTGGCAAGCTGTAACCTCCATACAATACAAGGTATCCCCAAGTCATACAACATAGCCATTTGGATGATACATTTGACGCGACTCGTCCAGTCACGTGCACGGATTCAGTCGGGCAATCAAATCATTATGAGCATTTACAATCCGTTGGGTATTTAAGGCACAACATATCAGTGTGATTCCATATTGGAACATGCGATGTTTTGGCCTTTCCGTGGTGCACAACTTACGGGATATTCCATAGACAGATGAAACGAACATTACATTTCTAATGAATTTTCATTAGTAAATATGTACATGGCAAATGGTTAAAGTGGAAAACCTGTATTCACATTACAAACCTTAATTATAAAACACTGCCTACAAGTAAATTCGGTAAGTGGGAATATATTTCTGTAGACTATACACAAATATTTTTGTCTGCCGGGCACCACGTCATTCTATTCGGGTCACTCCTATTTAATTAAGCAAGAAAATTACGGGCAAAATATTCTGCCAAAAGTTTTCTCGTATTTATTTTGGTTCGTCAAACACAAACAAAAACCAATCATAAACCTCATAACATGTATATTACATGTATTCACCAAATAGTTGGAGTGTGATATGGTAATCCCATAGAATCGATCCTCTAATTATGTGGCAGCTACACGGTTTTTTGGTTTAGTTCGATGGGAAGTGGCAACACCATACGTACTAAGAAGGTATTTCCCAGTAGAACATTCTACGTAAAACACCTCTATTTGGGTGTTCATCACAAAGAAAATCTGGTAAACTCAAACAACAGGCGGAGTTTACCAGTGTTTAGTGTTTTTATCCATTCAGCCACCGGTAAGCAAAGCATCAACCCACCACTCCGGAAACCCAGGGGTAACTCCTCCGGAATTTTTCTCGGAACGTATTAGCCCCGTCTCTTGCAATCTAACCACCATACGGTGGCCCGGACGAAAATGCTTTCTCCAGACACGAGTATTTGCTAGCAGGTATGTCTCATTTCACCTCGTGGGTTAAACGAGACGTACGTGCTAGCAAATACGCGTGTCGGAACACACTCCGCGCATTATCGGCTTACATATTTAACCGTTATCATCACTTTTTCCTGTCATTTAGCACTACACAATGCAAGCCTGGAGGGGGTTGCAATGTGAAGTGTCATGCCAAGGCCTACAACTTTGTTTTTTTGGTGTCCTCGCGGTTCCCGGCGGAAATAAAACTTCGACATTTCGTAAACAAACAAGTAATAGAAGCCAGAAATCGCTGCCAACGTGCAATCTCTTAAGCCAAAAAATGTCAATAAATCAATTTTAATTAGTGTTGTCCCCTATACTGCCATTACAATAAATAATTTCCCTTAACAATAAACAGTATTGTGACGTATTTCACGTGCCTACCTTTCACGTGTGCAGGCGTGCAGCATGTCCCACTACTTGATGTTTTGATACATTT